TTGCTCTGGAAAGCTCAGGGAGTGTCATACAGACTTTTTCCAAGCTGGTTATAAGGCTTGGGCTAATAGATGATCTAGATGTATTGAATCTAATGGTGACTACATTGCTGGGTATTGAGTATTGGTTTGTTTTATTTTTCTGTTATTAAATAAATTGTAAGTTAACAGGTTTTACTTTTTCATATCCCATTGTATTCCTTGGCATTGAATGGGTTACATGTCTCCCTGGAATCTAGAGGATTAGTACACTTTTATTCTTTGGAGTCTTGTGGGTCACTGCAGTAATTAATGTCAAATCAAGCTTGCATTTAGTCTTTCTCTGATATGAATCTTATACACTAAATATATTCTTGGGTCTCACATCGTTCAGTAAGCATTATCCATTCATAAGCTGAATCCATAAATGCAGAAAGTTTGAAGTTTAAGTGATACCCTTTATTGGCTACGTTACGTTATTAAAGTGGAGCTTCACCCAAAGGGGGAAGTTCTGCTTTAAGGCCTCCTCCCCCGCTTCTGTTTATGAAAAGGCACATTTGAGGGGGGGTGGGTACATGGTTTTGACAGGTACTCTTTCCCACTTCCGCTCCAACCACTTAGGAGATCGGTAGTGGAAGTTGTCCTCCCCTCCTCCCTCTCCGCAGTCTTCTAGGACACGTGACAGGTCCCAGAAGACTGTGGGACCATTCACAATGCGCGGCATGGCTCATGCATGTGCAGAGGGCACCCAGCTGTCACAGCCGGGTGCCCAAAGTTAAGATGCTGGCGCCGGGGACAGACAACAGGAGGTGAAAACGGCTCAGGTGAGCACATCGCTGGATCAGGGCTGTTTATAAAAAATCAGCAGCTACAGTCAGGGCTGCTGCTAGAAACCATGGGGCCCCATACAGCCAACTTGACAACCCCCCCCCCGGAGAACCCCCCACAGTTTACTATGCTTAATTTATGAATGAACACAACAAGTGAACGATACTGATCACCCACTGTGTTCATTCAGGAATGGAAGGGGCTGGAACCTTATCCCACTCTCCATCCTGAAGGATCCTATTGTCCTAGTGCCTGCAGCTGCTGGTGGAAAGGAAGTGAGGGAAGCCAGCAGCACTGTGTGGGCACACAGGGGGGCCTGGGCAGCAGGGGAAAACATATGGTTCACAGGGAGGCTGATGAGCGTGGTGGAGGGGCAATTTTTGGAACCTATCCCCTGTATGGCTTTCTCTGCAGCAGCTGAAAGCCGATGGGAGGGATAGGAGAAGAAGCCAGCATTCAGCTGCTGCAGAAAGAGCCATACAGGGGATAGGTTCCAGTAATTGCCCCTTCGCTGTTCCAATTACCCTCCCTGCCTACATCTGATTCACCCAGCTGCCTGGGCCCCCCTGCTGGCCTGGGCCCCTACAGGAGGACTGGTGGTACCCCCTTATCTACAGTTTTGTAGCTGCTGACTTTTCATTTTTACATAGGTGACTGGAGCTCCGCTTTAAAGATGTAAGCTTTTGGGACACTCTACTAATGCTATGAAGCCATAAATGCAATACATGTGCTCATTCTTGGTTTAAAAAAATAGTAAAAATTATGCTAATTTACTGTATTTTTCATGCCATCTCATTTTCACCCATGTACTCTAGCCCCTCCCACAAATCTTCTGTTCTTCACATTAGCGAGTATTTCCCACCTTTGTTTGATGGTTTGGTTTTCAAAGCCTTTCCCTGTATATGTGTGATTGAGCAAATCTGTGGTGTGAAATTAAAACTATGCTGAGCACAAAGGCAAACAACAGTGCCGATCAATGAGTCCTAGTTAGCACCGTGCTGCTGCATCGTAAATGTCTCTTAGATTGACAGTCTTTGTGACCGGCTATTCCTCATAGTGCCTGCCAGTGAATTATGTGCCCCAACATGCAAAGCTGTCATAGCTAAAAAAAAGATCAATTACAGGTCCTCAGTCCTAACCACAAAACAGATGTCTGCCTGTTGATCAGTTTTCTAACACTATGTAAAGCCAGTCATAATAACCCGAAGAAGCCTATTCAAATTAAACTGTGTAATCCTCAAGCTGGCGTTTCCCCGCTTGGCTGGAAAGAGGCTGACACTTGGAAAGCTTGCTTGATCTGCTTCCCCCCTAATAGTATCATCGTCTTTGTTAAGTAGTAAGTGAGCATAGTGCTGGCCCTCTCTCAACAAACCACAAAACGGGACATAGCATCCAATATTCCCTTTAGGATTTACAGGATGTTTTCGAGTCAAACCAATTGCAGTATGTTGCAGGCTTTTCACCTGTGGGACCCTTATGTTTCATCTGTTTTATATGATAACATTCAGTACTATGCAGGGGCGGACTGACAACTCATGATGCCCCCGGGCAATAGGGGATCATGGCGTCCCTGTATCCTTGCCCAAACTCAAAAAAGCCTATAAAAAAGGTACCAGGGGCATCACACGGGGCCCCCTACTGACCCCGGGCCCTCGGGCGGTGCCCGAGTTTCCAAATGGTCAGTCCGCCCCTGGTACTATGATTCTATGTGTTATTATGGTACTATTGTGTCATACAGATTGGGTTCTGCTTCAACTGTTAGCTGAGAGATCTCAGGATTCCATATAACACTATGGGGTTGATTTAGACTGCGTTCACACTGGAGTGTTTTGTAGCTTGAAGCTCGAAGCTCCAAAAAAGCTCAAACTTTAGTCCTCGTACACACTTAATGTTTTGATAATACTGGTAACGTTAGCTGTGTAAAGTCACGTTAAAAATGTGAGTTTTCAAGCTTTTAGCAGCGTTTTGATGCGTTTTCCAGCATTTTTCCGCATTTGCGTTTTATAGTTTTGTTTGCATTTTTTTACAAAAAAAATTATTTATTTTTGGTCGAGAAAAGTCCAAAAATTATGGTTTGCAGCTCTTTACCGCGCTTTTCAGCGTTAGAGCGTTTTTCCAGCTAAAAAACTCCTCTAGAAACCCACTAGTCCTGGGTTTTTTTTCCAGCCAAAAAACGTGGATTACAGTCTATGTGTGCATAGACACATAGGATAACATGCTGGGGGGGTTTACTGGTTGTAGAAAAAAACGTCAAAAGCCAAAAACAGCAAAAACGTCAAGTGTGCATGAGGACTTAAAAATCAATTGTTCTCTATGGTGCCTGTTCATGACATCAGGTGTGAACAGGCACTACAGAGAACAATTGATTTTTTAAGTTTGAGGTTTTTTTTAGCTTTGAGCTGCATTCACACTAGCTTTGTCAGCATGTGTCAGACAGGCGTTTGGTAAGTGTTTTTAACGCTTCTAAAACGCCTATGAAAATTATGCACGTGGCAGCACACAGTGCTGTTCACACAGAAGCATTAGCGTCCTGTTGTGTCGCAGCAAATCTGACGCCTCATGTCCAGTCAGGAGGAGTTGAAGCCTCCCATTCAAGTTTATGGTGCTGCTCCGCAAACGCCTGCCAGGTTGCGAGGTGGTTGCGGAGCGATAATACCATTTAACTTCATTATAGGAGTTTTTTGGTGCATTTTTAACGCTTGGCAAACGCCTATTAACTGCCTCAAAACCGCACATAAGGCATTTTGGGACCGTTTGGGGAGCATTAAAAACGCTTCCCAAATGCCTGTCTAACGCCTGTCAAACGCTATAGGGGCGCAGCCATCCAAAGCAGTGTGCTTACAGTGAAGCACATAGACACTGCCCCATTGTAAAACACACCCAGCACACAACTAACCCTTTGATAGCCCCTCATGTTAACCCCTTCCTGCCCAGTGCCATTAGTACAGTGTCATTGCTTTTTTTTAGCACTGATCACTGTATTGGTGTCAATGGGGATGTCAGTGACACCAAGTCAGTTTCCCCCAGTGTCAGAATGTCCACAGCAGTCCTACTATAAGTAGCTGATCGCCGGCATTACTAGTAAAAATAAAAAACCCCAATATATATACCGCCATTTGTAAACGCTATAACATTCACGTAAACCAATTAATTTACATGTATTAGGCTTTTGTTTTAGTAAAGACATGTAGCAGAATACATTTTGGCGTTTTTTTTTCTTATAGCACAAAAAATAAAAAATGCACAGGCGATCAAATACCACCGAAAAAAATCTCAATTCGTGGGAAAAAAAGACATAAATTTCATTTGGGTGCAGCGTTGCATGACCGCGTAATTGTCAGTTAAAGTAATGCTGCGCCATAATGCAAAAAATGGCCTGGTCAGGAAGGGGGGTAAGTCCTCAGGAGGGCAAGTCAACCCCCTATGTAGCTTACAAACAATGCAAACCTTTCACAACTACCATATCTCAATACTAGGGTTGCCACCTCATCCCTTTAAAACTGAACACATTAATTACACAAGTTCTGTGGCTGATTGAAGTGTTAATTAAACTCAGAGCCTTATCTGCAATAAATTAGCCTCAGAACCTGTGTAATTAATATGTGTGTTGAGTTTTAAAGGGATGAGGTGGCAACCCTACTCAATACACATGATGCGAAGTCAAGTATTATATGAATTATATAATGTAAATTATACAATGTAATTTGAGTCTGAGTCTGTCTCAGATATCAGGGTGTCGGTGTAAATTTTAACCCATCCCTCCCCTTCCATGCCCACAGCAAGAGATGGTCCAGTAATCAATAAAATAAAGCAACTCAAGTATTGTATTAGCAATGATAAAAACGATCACATATATAGTATATTATTATATTGTTACATAATTCTTAACCGCTTTCACGCGGCCCTATAGCAGAAATACTGCTACAGAGCGGCAGGGGTAAGCAAAATCACATATATATATATATATATATATATACACAGGATTTTGCAGTTCTGGGTAGGGGGAACACCCTACCCACGCCGCCATTCACGGCCTTGATTGTCAATCACCGGGTCCCAGTGATCGCCGAGTATCACCAACGGGGGAGAGACCTGTGTAAAAACAACAGATCTCTCCCCGTCAGCTACTGCACACTACTTTGTATTGCTCTGCATAGCATAGTCTTACAAAGCAGCGTGCTTACAGTGTAAATCACACACACAGTACAACAGCACACAGTTAACCCTTTGATCGCCCCAGATGTTAACCTCTTCCTGCCCAGTGCCATTAGTACAGTGTCAGTGCTTTTTATTAGCACCGATCACTGTATTGGTGTCACTGGGGATGACAGTGACACCAAGTCAGTTCCCCCCAGAGGGCAAGTGGTTTATGCCTCTTCTACTCGATGACCCTAATGCAATCTTCTTTAAACCCTGATTTTTTTTTCATGTAAACTACATATCTCAGCTGTTTTATCAGTTTTCAGCTCTTTACAGCCTGAAGGGGATTGTATTAGATGTACAGAGTCACTTTAGGGCCAGCTAGGAATTGCAACAGAAGCTCTGAGGGCTATACATCTAAACTTCTAAGACAGCTGAACAAATGCTACACAGAAAGAAATGGGATCTATGACTAGAAACAATCCTGTAGGTTTCTCTTGTGTGTATGATGTCAGTTCTTTTAGACTGGAGACTGCAAGGGGGGTCAGCATCAACAGCAACCTTTCCAAGTGTTAATATTTCACAGCTGGATATGTGTGAGGCTAGGTTCACACCTATGCAGGTTGTGTTTTAGCCATTTCTGCATTGCATTTTGCGTTGAGTTTTTGCACCCGCGTTTTTGATGCTTTTTTTTTCATTTTTTTTTTATTTTTATTGTTGCTAGGCAGATCTAAAATGCAAAACACATAAAAAATGCAGCAAAAACGCAATACATGCTTTTCTACAACATTTCCATTGCAGTCTATAGAACCAAAAACTTAACTTTTTGAGTTAAGAAAAAGTCCCTGACCCCCTACAAAAAATGCACCAGGTGAAAACACACAGCTGTGAACATGTCTCATAGGAAATCATGTTAAATGGACTATACTGCTTTTCTGCAAAACGCTGCAGAAAACGCTTAAGGTGTGAACCTAGGGCAAGGCCTGTTTCACACAGGCTTCAGCTTGTATTGGAACAGCAGGAACAGCAAGCTTTGACAAAGCATTTGCAGAGATTTCATCAAGCTTTGTTGAAGCTTTTAAAGTACCATTCAACTCTTGTTTATAAATGTTTAACACAGATCCTAATGGGAGTGTTGATTGACACTTTAAACAAGCTGATAGCTTATTAAAAGGCTACTGAAGCCTGCTAGCAGCTTGCTTAACTTTTTCACACCAAATACGCTGCCTCGGCAGCTGGGCCTTGATGCCGAGCGGCCGCATATTTGTGTACCATTTGTAAACAAACATGTGGGGAGAGCGCACGCCCTGTGCACCGCCAGCATGTGTCGGCCCCCCATGGAAAGGTCCCGATCTCTTCTTGCAATCGGGACCTTTCTGATCACATGACCACTGTGACAGCCAATTACAGTGGTCACATGACCCTAAACCCAGCCCCGCCTCCCGGCATCAGACACCCCTTAAAGGGCCGGGAGGAGCCGGCTCAAAGGGGTTAAAGGGGCTATCAACACTCCCATTAGGATCTGTGTTCAACATTTATAAATGGGAGTTGAATGGTACTTTAAAAACTTCAAGAAAGCTTGCTGAAAGCTCTGCAAATCCTTTGTCAAAGCTTGCTGTTCCAGACTGCTCTTATACAAGCCAAAGCCTGTGTGAAACAGACCTTACTTCACATGTGCACATATGTACACCCTGGGCTCCATAGCATTTGCACAGACTGCTATGTCTATTGTTAGATCACTGGAAGCAAAGGTAGCACTGTATGGTAGGGTTGCCACCTCATCCCCTTAAACCCGAACACATATTAATTACACAGGTTATGCGGCTGATTAAGGTTGTAATTAAACTCACTTAGCGCCCTATCTGCCTTAAATTAGCCTCAGAACCTGTGTAATTAACCCCTTGACACTGACGGCCAGGGGCGGACTGACCATTTGGAAACTCGGACACTGCCCGAGGGCCCGGGGTCAGTAGGGGGCCCCATGAGATGCCCCGGTACCTTTTTCATAGGCTTTTTTGAGTTTGGGCAAGGGCACAGGGCCCCATGATCCCCTGTTGCCCAGGGGCCCAATGAGTTGTCAGTCCGCCCCTGCTGACGGCACACAAATATGCGGCCTCACGGAACTGGGCTTTTTTCCGTGGGGCTGCATATTTGCATACCTGTCTTTGGGCTGGGAGCGCGCCAAGCGGTGCGCTCCCAGCACAGAGACCGCAGTGTGACTGAGAGCCCCGGGTCCCGTTCTAACGATTGGGACCCGGGACTCCCGATTCCGGGTCACGTGATCGCTGTGATAGCCTCTGATTGGCTATCACAGTGATCAGTCACTGTGCAGCCCGGCCCCCCCCCTTGCTTTTTTTCTCTCTATGAATGGAGAAGAGAGATACATTGTATCTCTCTAACTCCTGGTAGGTAAAAAAAAAAGAAGATAAATAAATAAATATTAAAAAATAAAAGAAAAAATAAAGAAAAATACCTAGATCAAGGTCAGGGTCAAAGGCCAAGGTCAAAGGTCATGATTTAAAAAAAATTGGTGTCAGTTAGTGTTAATGTTAATGTCAGTGTGTAGGTAAAAAAAAAAGAATAAAAGACAAAAACAAAATGCGCACTATTGTTTCTGGGCTGTACTATGGGTACAAACAACAACTAACATACACATATATGGTATCGCTGCGATCGTCAAGAGCTGAAACATTTATTTTGGGTTGCTCTTTGGTGGTAGGTTATGGTCGTAACAAGAAACACACAGCTAAATAAAAAAAAAAATAATTTTTTTTTACTATTTTGGGCTAGTTTTCTTTGATAATAAAAAAAAATTAGGAGCTATCCATTACCATTTACCACTAAATGAAAGCCCAATTTGTCCTGTAAAAATCAAGGTATAATCTACCTGGATGTACAAAGTAGTTGTGATTTGTATGGTTTTACTATCACATGTCAACGTTGCAGAATTGTGCTTAGGCATTTAGCAGGGGCGGACTGACAACTCATGGGGCCCCCGGGCAATAGGGGATCATGGGGCCCCTGTGTCCTTGCCCAGATTCAAAAAAGCCTACTAAAAAGGTACCAGGGGCATCTCATGGGGCCCCCTACTGACCCCGGGCCCTCGGGCAGTGCCCGGGTTTCCAAATGGTCAGTCCGCCCCTGGCATTTAGATTTGTTTTACTCTTAGGCATGAAAGGGTTAATATGAGTTCGGGTTTAGCCACCTCCCGCCCGCCATATAAGAAAAGATGGCGGACGAGCGGTGGTTCTCTTGTTCTGGGAGGGCGTCATATGACGTCCTCCCACTCTAACCGTCATGTGATCAGTTGTGTCCAATCACAGCTGATTGCATGTACAGTTGCAAGAAAAAGTATGTGAACCCCTTGGGATTACGTGGAGTTTTGCGTGAATTGGGCATAAAATGTGCTCTGAACGTCATCTACATCACAACAATAGAAGAACACAGTCTGCTGAACATAATACTACACAAACATTAGATGTTGCCATGGTTTAATTGCACATAACATGTAAACATTCACAGTGCAGGGAGGAAAAAGTATGTGAACCTTAGGACTTAATAACTGGTTGACCCTCCTTTAGCAGCAATAACCTCAACCAAACGTTTCCTGTAGTTGCAGATCAGACCTGCACAACGATCTGGAGTAATTTTGGACCACTCCTCTTCACAAAACGGTTTCAGTGTAGCAATATTCTTGGGATGTCTGGTGTGAATCGCTCTCTTAAGGTCATGCCACAGCATTTCAATTGGGTTGAGGTCAGGACTCTGACTGGACCACTCTAGAAGGTGTATTCTGTGCTGTTGCAGCCATTGTTTTGTTGAATTACTTGTATGCTTTGGGTCATTCAAAATATATAAAACTTTTTCTTTTTTTACCCAAATAATAAATATATCCGCCAATCTCACCTAACAGGAAGTGTCCAAAAAAAAATATATATAGTGTCTCAAATGTCTCAATTATCAAGATAAATCTCCAAACATGTAGACCATTAAATTCTTTCTTCTTCAAACTTGCAAATCCTGATGACAATTAAACCTCAAAAGAAAAAAACTTAACATAGTGTCATACCATTTAAATAATAAAACACACGTGCCACTCTCTGTGCAACATGCAAAATCAATGTACACGTGTATGCTCTATAAGTGAGTATCTCTATACAAGCAAAAATTATAACAATGGACGACACTCACAGAAAGTGTCAGCTACAAACAAACGTGAAAAACTAAAGATATCACTCCAAACGGTGTGTATCAGTGTACACCTTAGACCCAAACCAACAATCTCCACCTCATGTGCTGATGGATAATTACCCTATGCAGGAAAATATAGGGCATCACATCACTCTGGGTTGCTATCTCTTCATTCAGATATCAGGCTTCCTCCAATCCTAAGATTATTCCTCCATTTCCCTCATGAGGAAATTCACAGTTACCAATCGTGGATAAAAACACAATTTTCCTTTATTTGCCAACTTACATTAAAATAAGGGTGAAGCAGCTCCTCTTCACAGGGATACAGATACAAACAAGTTTAGGGAAACATTAGCCACATGTTCCCACTTCCAAGATGGCCGCGATCGCACTTCCGGTCAGCGTCGATACGTCTGACGTCACGTGTCTATGACGCGTTTCGTCACTTCCTTTGACTTTATCTGAAGGGCCCAAAAATGTTAGCATGTGCCAGAGATTTCTGTAGGTCTTTAGCTGACACTCTGGGATTCTTCTTTACCTCATGCAGCATTCTGCGCTGTGCTCTTGCAGTCATTTTTACAGGAAGACCACACCTAGGGAGGGTAGCAACAGTGCTAAACTTTCTCCATTTGTAGACAGTCTGTCTTACCGTGGACACATGAACATCAAGACTTTTGGAGATACTTTTGTAACCCTTTCCAGCTTCATGCAAGTCAACAATTCTTGATCGTATGTCTTCTGAGAGCTCTTTTCTGCGAGGCATGGTCCACATCAGACAGTGCTTCTTGAAACCAGTAAACCCAAAAAAGGTGTGTGTTTTTTAAGGGCAGGACAGCTGTCAGCAACACATCCAATATCATCACACTGATTGGAGTCAAGGTTGGCTCACTCCTGGCTCCAATTAGCTCTGGGAGAAGTCATTAAGCTAGGGCCTCACATACTTTTTCCTCCCTGCACTGTGAATGTTTACATGTTATGTGCAATTAAACCATGGCAACATCTAATGTTTGTGTAGTATTATGTTCAGCAGACTGTGTTCTTCTATTGTTGTGACTTAGATGACGTTCAGAGCACATTTTATACCCAATTCATGCAAAACTCCACGAAATCCCAAGGGGTTCACATACTTTTTCTTGCAACTGTAAATAAAGAAATGCCGGTTACCTCAGGGAGCACATGTACACTGAACATCAGGGCACTGATGATCAGTGTAGCCCCATCAGTGCCACCTGTCAGTGTCCATCAATGCCACCTGTCAGTGCCCATCAGTGCCACATCAATGCCACATATTAGTGCCTATCAATGCACAACAATGCCATATATCAGTGCCCATCTGAGCTGCCTTTCAGTGCCAACTATCAGTGCCAAACAGTTCCATCTATAAGTGCTGCCAATCAGTGCCACCTATCAGTGCTGCCTATCAGTGCCAGTCAGAGCTGCCTATCAGTGCCCATCATTGCCACCTATCAGTGCCACCTAACAGTGCCAGTCAGTGCCGCCTAACAGTGCCAGTCAGTGCCGCCTATCAGTGCCAGTCAGTGCCGTCCATCAGTGCCGCCTATTAGTGCCATATATGAGTTCTGCCTTTCAGTGCCTATCAGTGATGCCTGTCAATGCCCATCACTGCCACCTACCAGTGCCTCCTCATCAGTGCCCATCAGTGCCGCCTATCAGTGCCCATCAGTGCTGCCTATCAGTGCCCATCACTGCAGCCTCATTAGCCCACATCAGTGAAGGAGAAAAATCACTTATTTACAAAATGTTATAACAGAAACAAAGAAAAAAACTTTTTTTTTTTTCAAAATTTTCAGTTATTTTTGGTTTGTTTAGCAAAAAATAAAACACCCAGAGGTGATTAAATACCACCAAATGAAAGCTCTGTCTAAAAAAAATGATTAAAATTTCATATAGGTACAGTGTTGCATGACCGCGCAATTGTCATCCAAAGTGCGATAGCGCTGAAAGCTGAAAATTGGCCTGGGCAGGAAGGGGGTGATAGTGCTCTGTAGGCAAGTGGTTAAAGAGATGAGGTGGCAACCCTGATGTATGGCCATGATCCATAAAATACCTGCTTTAGGCTTCCCTACCACCAGTTTAAAGTGTATCTAAACCCACTACAAAAACATAATATATTCCTACCCCCATGTAACAGTGATGGCACCAGTTGATTAAACTTTCAAAAGATGAGAGTCCCATGCTCCTCCATACCCAGAATTACCAGGTATTTCAGAAAACAGAGGCATAAAGTCTAAAAAAGGGAAACTTAAGGCAGCCATTACATCTACTGATTGGTAAGCTGCAATATATTACATTACATTTGGTTTGGGCTTTAATACCTCTTTAACCCTGAATGGAAATGTGTGGTTTTAAGGAAAATGCCACATGTAACCTTGTTTTCCATATTCCTCTTCTACATGTTTCAAAATCATTTTATTGCCAGATCCTGGAGCTTTGTTAAGATCCTCCTACATCTGCTTAGGATGTATTGCAGGGTATGCTGCCTCTGCTTTGTATGCAATGTACAAATCTGACATTAAATCCCACAATGAATTGCTTTAATAACTGTTAATGTCAGTTATGAGACATGCAGTGTAATACTAGACAGGGGAGGAATGAGGAGGGGAAGTGCTGTCCCATGGGATACACATCAGAAATTAAAAAATGCAGGCAGGAATCCTATCTTCAAAATAAAGCTGCCAACTAAAAGAGGTTTTTTTTTTTTAAAAGGCAAAACAAGAAAATGAGGGAATCTGTCCAAAACTTAAAAAAGAAAAATAAATAAAATAAATTTTTCGACCTTACCAACACTTTGGATTAATGAGTTAAGTCTTCCCTGTTTTACAGTAAACTCAACTCTTCTCTCCTGCACCACCGTTTCAGCCACTTATTTAAAGAGGTAGTAAAAAAAAACCCAATCTAGTTCCCCCACTGGTTCATGTCATAATGTACTAGTATGCACACAATACTAGCACATTATGACAGACTTACCTAAAAAATAAATCCCTCCAGCCTTGCGCTGTCACCGATGAAAGGACTTCTATCTTGCCAGGTCTTCATTCTGGGTTTGTGGGCTCCGGCCTTCTGAATGGCCGAGCCACAACAACGTCACTCCCTCTCATGTGCGCTGGAGGCACAGCTCTCTCAATGGAAAGCATGCCATCCATTGAGAGTGCAGTGTGCATGTGTTGGTGTAACCATGAGCTGGTGAGAATGTTACTCAGCCAGATGTTAATGGGAGGTACCAGGCTCAGGTGACAGGTACTCCAGTAACAAGGGGGTCGGTAGACCACCTCCCTCTTGGTCGGTTCTCCGATCGAGAAGTACTGGGACCTAACCCGTGGTAATGAAACCCGATGTATGCAGCCACATGGTACAGGAGAAGAAGGAGTTAATTGTGTGCATGCACAAGGTTTGCACTATGGCATGGTGGGACCCCATTTTGTCTCTGGAATTGAGGTGGCAGAGGAATCCTGGTCTGGTGAAGATGGTAGAGGCTTAGCAGTGTCCCTCCTGAATGCAACATTTGGATAAAAGGATGTGTAGTGACATGGGACAATATGCATCAGGGCCGGTTCAAACTGATGTGGCGTGGGAAACCTCATGTGATTTGGACAGGAATTACACTTGCGATTCTTTTGCAGTGCGATTTGAGTCATTCATTTTATGTGATTCAAATTGCACAATTTACCTGCAGGAAAGGTGCAGGACCCTTTTATTTCTGCACTGGAATCAGATCCCATAGTGTTCACACCCATGGTAGCCAATTCAGCCAATTGCACTATGTTTGAAAACCGTTTTGGAGGTTTTGTTAATTTAACATTGACACCTGCAGTAGTTCACATGAACGGCGTGTGATTCTTATGGGCTGCGGGAAATGCACAGAATTTGCTGCAAATCCCGCACCCCATCAGTGTGAACCAGGCTTTACAGAGAGACTCTGTAGGTCATATGGCTGCACACTGTGCATAATTCATCTCTAAGCCAGGGTTCCACCTTAACCAGTTGCCGACCGCAGATAGCCGAATGACGGCTACACTGCGGCTGGCCAGTCCTGGGAGGGCGTCATATGACGTCCTCCCAGAACGCGCTCTCCTGCAGACACAGCTGATACATGATGTGGTAAAAGGCCAATCACAGCGGCCTTTTACCACGTGATCAGCCGTGTCCAATGACACGCTGATCACAGGGAAATGCAATTGCCGGTTCTCGGCTGCACTTTCCTCACGCTGTCAGATCGTGAGGAAAGTACTGCCGAGAACCGGCAGTTGTTAGAGCGGGGATCGGCACCAGCATCAGGGATGATCAGTGCCCTGATGATCGGTGCCCAGCAGTGCCACCCACCAGTTCTGCCCACTTGTGCCCAGCAGTGCACCTACCTGTGCCCAGCAGTGCAACCACCTGTGCCCAGCAGTGCCCACCAGTGCCACCCAGCAGTGCCACACACCTGTGCCCAGCAGTGCCATCCAGAAGTGCCATCTATCTGTGCCCAGCAGTGCCACCCACCTGTGCCCACCAGTGCCACCCACCCATGTCCACCAGTGCCACCCACCAGTGCCCATCAGCGCAGCCCAGCAGTGCTGCCAGTCAGTGCCACCAGTCAGTGCCCAGCGGTTGTGCCAGTCAGTGCCCAGCAGTGCGCCAGTCAATGCCTAACAGTGCCGCCAGGCAATACCTAGCAGTGCCGCCAGTCAGTGCCCAGCAGTGACACTGGTCAGTGCCACCTATCAGTGCTGTCTAACAGTACCCATCATCAGTGCCGCCTGTCAGTGCCACCTATCAGTGCCGCCTATCCGTGCCACCTCATTAGTGCTGCCTATCAGTGCGCCTATCAGTGCCCTTCAGTGCTGCCTATCAGTGCCCATCAGTGCTGTCTCATCAAAAAGTACCTGTTTGCAAAATTTTATAATAGAAACAAAGAAACTTTTTTTTTAAAAAATTTTTTTGCATTTTTTTGTTTATAGCGCAAAAAGTAACGTGCCCAGCGACGAGTAAATACCACCAAAAGAAAGCTCTATTTGTGAGAAAAAAATGGTAAAAATGTCATATTGGTACAATCTTGCATAACCGCGCAATTGTCAATCAAATTGCGACAGTGTTGAAAGCTGAAAATTGGCCTGGTAAAGAAGGGAGTATAAGTGCCAGGTAGGCAAGTGGTTAATGACAACTCTCACATGAACGTGCCCGCCTGGTCCCAGGCATTGATGAGCTCATACATGAAAAGAGGTACCCCCATATGCACAGGCAAGGTGGCCCCCACCCACATGCATGTTTGAGGTTTGCCAAAAAGAAGCTTGGCAAACCACAACGCTAGTGGAAAAATGTTTTGTGAACTGAACAAAAGTTGAAAAGTTCTGGAAGAATACTCAACACTGTGTATAGTGCAAGAAGGGCACACCTTCTCAACATCAAAATAACATCCCAACAGTGAAGCGTGGTGGAGGAAACCCATGATTTCAGCTTGCTTCACTATCTCAGGGCCTGGACCACTTGCCATCATCGAGTAGAAAACTAATTCCCATACTTAGTGAAATATCCTCCAGGATAATGTCAGGATGGCTGTCTGCCAGCTGAAGCTTAGTAGAAGTTCAGTGATCCAGCAGGGCAATGACACTGAGCATAAAAAAAATAAATCCCCCACAGACTGGCTTCACCTGTATGAAAACCTTGCTGTAGGGAAGCCTAAGCAGAGCCGTGTGAAAGGGACCTTAAGGAAAAGCTGCCACTTCTACACTCCCCAGCAGCTGCAACATTCAAACATCAGATGCATCAAACACTCTTCTCTGTGTTCCCTCCTGCCAGCTTGTACATTTTAAATAGAACATACCATCATCATCCTCCTCTTCATCATCATCATCCTCCTCCTCCTCCTCCTCGTCCTCCTTCTCCTCATGAGATTCCTCTTTTTTGGCAGGACCAGTTTTTTTTCCCTTTAGTAACAGTTGGTGTCACTTCCATTGCTTCTTCATCTTCTTCAGAGTCTGACATTTCAAAAAGTTATTGCATATTGTATCCAAAAAACCTCAAAACACACTTTTGTAAAATGTCATCTTATTTAACCACCTCCCGTCCGGCCGCTGTATATAAACGGCTGGACGGTGGCAGTGCAGGGTCGGGTGGCTGTTTATAAACGGCCTCCCCACCCCCCACTTGTGCACGCTCCCTGGGAGCTCGCAGCACCGCGATCCGGTGCCCGCTGTGTCAGTGTGGAACACTGATCGTAGTACAGGATCTCTGTGTGAGGTCCCGATCATGTGATCACTGATTGGCCAATCAGTGATCACATGCAGAGTAGTAAGCAAGATGTCACTTCTGACATCATTGCTTACTACATGTGAAATCTGTGAATGACCACAGAGGTCACATGGTACAAGGCTATTCACAACACCCTTGTACCATGTGACAAGCTGTGACCAATCACAGCTCACACAGTAGTTTTCAATGGCTGCAAGAATGCAGCCAGAGAGAATGAGAAATGATTGCTTTTACAGCCTTTATGTGTGTAAAAGCAATCAGTGTAAAAAAAAAAAAAGAAAAGAAAAAGGAAGTAGAGTGTCACCATGGTGACACTCCACTCCTAGAGTGACAGTATGTAAAAAAAACAAATATAAAAAAAAATAAAATAGTAAAAACAAATGTTTAAAAATTATAATTTTGGTTATAAACTAATTTGGGATTTTTTTTTTACTAAAAAGATATAAAACAGAATACATTTTGGCCAAGATTTATGATGAAAAATATATTTGCAAAATTTTATAAGAAAAACACTTTTTTTTCAAAATTTTTGGACTTTCATTTACATAGCAAAAAAAATAAAAATCCCAGTGGTGAATAAATACCACCAAAATAAAGCTTTATCTGTCTAAAAAAATGCTAAAAAATTCATATGGGTACAGTGTTGCATGACCACGCAATTGTCATTCAAAGTGTGATAGCACGGAAAGCTGAAGATTGGCCTGGACCAGGAAGGGGGTAAAAGTGTCCGGACAGGAAGTGGTTAAATATGGCAATGCAGTTAAGTAGAGCAAAAAGGCTTTTTTTCCCCTTTTTAAATATGTTGGATAGAAGAGGAGAGGGTTACATTTATTGACCATCTGTGTCAGAGAATTCCCTTCACTTCCTTCAATGTTGCCTCAACATGAAGAGGAGATATCTTTCCAATGTAAAGGATATCCTCTCAGACAGTTGTCACAGGAAAAAGTGCCCCCAATAGAAAAAGGTCTCCTGCATTCATGTTTTGGTGGCAACAAAATGTTGAATCTCGGGGACACGGGGACACAGACCGCAAAAAAAAAAAAAAAAAAATCTGACAAAAGGTTTTCTTTCATTACACAAGTAAAAAAAAAATAAAAGTTACAGTAAAAACAGATCTCCATTGCATGTTAAAAACAAAGTTATCCCATTTATGGCACATCAGCAAACATCAGTCATCAAAGGTCAGTATTAAGTCCCAAAATTGTTCATCATTTGTGCCAACAATTTACAAGACAGCAGGCAGCTTACCCTCCTCTTCAGACTCCTCCTTTACAGGTTTCTTCCCTTGAGGCATTTTGGCAGGAGCTTTCTTGGCAACAGGTTTTTTTCTCTTCTTCAGATTCATGTAAAGAATAGAATTCCATTAACACACCAAACCAAATTTCAGTGACACCATCTCTCTATTACATATCTAGTATTGTAAGAGTGGGATGAGCCATCCACTATGTCCATGTCTCCTTCCCCTGTAATCCCAGGGCGTTGCCATGGAAACAGAGGTGACCCGGAAGTAGAAAAGAAGGCAGCCTGTCACTTCAGGTGTCCTTAACCCACAGAGCTCCGCCTCTTTCTCTATGAGTTTGCCTCCTGTTCTCCTAGGTGGAGACCCGCCCCTTCCATCACGGCAGATGAGGATTCTGACCCCGCCTCTTCTCGCCCCCTTGAAGAGTTCTACACCATACTCCTCCCCCCAGGCGGAGTTTCGGTCTTTTCCCCACTCTCATTTAGAGAGGTACCACGCCCCCACATTTATGGAGGTGAAAGCCACGCCCCCTAAAACGTTCAATGGGAGGACATAGAGATGCCTCCCCAAGGCTTTGTCGCCCCGCCCCCATGCTCTGCCGCCACGCCCCCGTTTTCTGAGTGGTAGGTGGCAAAGTCTCCGCCCCTCTTATTTGCATAAATGTTGTTAGTATGTTGTTGTGTTATCCGGGGGGGATGGGGGCTGAGCGGTTGTGTGTAATGTATGAGTATGGTATTTGGTGTAGGAGGTATACATTATTAATAATAATACATCTACATCACAGCAGACACGTCTAGGAATAAAGGGAATGAGATGGACGGGCTCTCCATGATGTGACCCTCACAGATCCTGAAGAGTTTATATAGAACAGGGCACACCATAGTAATTACGTGAAGGAAAGCTCACTGCCAAGGCTATGTGCTGAGTATTCTACCACTCCCACTGGGGGGTGGAATCATTGCAATACCTTGGAGGGGTGTGTGAGGCTAGAACCAATCACTGCCCTCACAGGGCATCACCTGAACCCGACTAGGGTGAAGTGAGTCCACCCAGACCACATGACATGAGAAACAACAAACGAAAATTGAAGAAAAGAAGAGATGTTGTCATGTGGGACCTTGGAAGGAGACTCCTGATTGGCTGGCAGAGAAAGTCCCATGTGTGAGATGGAAGCACCCCACTGAAGAGTGAAGAAATGTGTGCGTGTGGGCGCTACCTACCAGAACCCGATTCAGACTACTCTCCCTTCCCTCACCAAAGTTTTACTTCACCACAGCATGTGAGGGTGCTGCACGACCCGATTCAGACTACTTTCCCCTCCCCCACCCTCATTATTCATCACGGCATGTGGGGGCGCTACATGACCCGATTCAGACTACTCTCCCCTCCCACACCATCATTACACTCCGCCACGGCATGTGGGGGCGCTACACGACCCGATTCAGACTACTCTCCCCTCCCACACCATCATTACACTCTGCGCCACGGCATGTGGGGGCGCTACACACGACCCAATTCAGACTACTCTCCCACCCTCATTACACTCCGCCACGGCTTGTGTGGGCGCGCCACACGACCCGATTCAGACTACTCTCCCCTCCCCCACCCTCATTATACTCCGCCACAGCCCGTGGGGGGTGCCACGCGACCCGATTCAGACTACTCTCCCCTCCCTCATTATACTCCGCCACGGCTTGTGGGGGCGCTACAGAACCCAATTCAGGCTACTCTCCCCTCCCCCACCCTCATTAATCCCCGCCACGGCCCGTGTGAGCAGCCACATGACCCAATTCAGACTACTCTCGTCTCCCCACCATCATTATACTGCACCACGCCCACTCTCCCCCTCCCCCACCCTCATTATACTCCGCCATGGCTTGTGGGGGCACTACACAACCCAATTCAAACTACTCTCCCCTCCCCCATCCTCATTATACTCCGCCATGGCTTGTAGGAGGCGCTACAAAACCCAATTCAAACTACTCTCCCCCCCATCCTTATTATACTCCACCATGGCCTGTGGGAGCACTACACAACCCAATTCAGACTACTCTCCCCTCCCCCATCCTCATTATACTCCGCCACGGCCTGTGTGGGTGCCACACAGCCCAATTCAGATGACTCTCCCCTCCCCCACCCTCATTATACTCCACCACAGCCCGTGTGGGGGCGCTACACGACCCAATTCAGACCACCACTCTCCCCTCCCCCACCCTCATTATACTCCGCCACAGCTTGTGTGTGGGTGCTACACGACCCAATTCAGACCACTTTCGCCTCCCCCACCTCATTATACTCCCACCATGGCCTGTGGTGGCACTACACGACCCAATTCAGACTGCTCTCTCCTCCTCCCACCCTCATTATACTCCACCATGGCCTGTGGTGGCACTACACGACCCAATTCAGACTACTCTCTCCTCCTCCACCCTCATTATACTCCACCATGGCCTGTGGTGGCACTACACGACCCAATTCAGACTACTCTCTCCTCCTCCACCCTCATTATACTCCGCCACGACAAAACCACTTCTTCGGTTCCAAGACCTTCCATTCTCAACCAGTGTTCCATGGAACCCTGGGGGCTCCTCCAGAGGTTAAGAGTCCTTTGAATTGTGGCTGAATCTGATGGTGCCTGAATAGTTCTGCACCCAATGCCTATTTGAAGAGCCAACGGCAGGACACCAAAGATCTTTTTAGCGGTCTGTAAGAGTGGCCTGCTGACCACCATTGTAGGAGGCAATCTTCCAAATGACTACCACTAAAAGGGGAAGGGCGAATTCTTCCCACTGGCCACCAATGCAAGGGCCACTCTTTCAAATGATTACCACTAAAAGGGGCAAAATTCTTCCCAACTGGCTATCGATGCCAGGGCCGTTCTTCCCGCCGCCCACCAATGCGAGGGCCGTTCTTCCCACCGGCACCAATGCGAGGGCCGTTCTTCCCACAGGCCACCAATGCGAGGGCCGTTCTTCCCACTGGCCACCAATGCCAGGGCCGTTCTTCCCACAGGCCACCAATGCATTCTGCCCACTGATCACCAATGATCAGCTGGACATAGAATACTGGATGAAGCAGATGTGATCAATATACTGTATATACAACTCTTTATCTGTTACCAGTATATTGCCATTTGCTTACAGCAGCCTTTCCATTATTACTAAGAATTAAAAACACGGAATAAGCTTTTCTAGCCATATGTCGTCTTCCCTTAGTCAATGCTCATTTTATACAATAGCGTATAATTGAAGAGCATACATGCCAGGAACAATCATTACATGGACTGAAATATAAAAAGATTAAGAAAAACAACATAACATTATCTGTGTGGTTTGCTAAAAGTAGAAATCACAAATATGAGTGTCAATGGTTTTCATGTGGTCCTCACCACTGTCTCCCTGAAAAACCTGATGGAGCCGTCTCTGGTCACATGATATCCACAAAGTAACTGTGCTAAACATAGTTGTAGATCAGTATTGGTTTATACTAATTATAGGAGTCCAGAAAAGACAGGAAGATGAAGTTCAACTTGTAGACAGAAAGTGCTGATAGCATGGTTTTTAGTGGTAACTATGGCTATGTCTTTATTATATTATTTAGTATTGCCGGAAAGGAGCATTGCAATTCCTTGCCTGAGTTTGATAGTAGAGCTGCTACATGTCCAGCCAGAAGGACAATGGAATGGGAAGTTTAACCTCCCTAGCGGTCTGATTATGTCCATATTTCTGTGCTCAAAGCGGTACATTTTTTTGCACGGAAATATGTATTTTTTTTATTGTAGGCCTGTAATTCTTAGGAATAACTCACTGAAATCTGTCCGAACAAGAGTCTAGTAAACACCCAGGGTATGTTAAAATTTGAAACACGAAATCATAAATTATAATTTAATAAATGATCATAAAAAATAATAATATAATAATAAATTTAATTCAATAATAT